TTTACTTAGGAGAGACAAACAGACATCTTTTAAAGTGAAATGCATTTAAATAAGAGTAAATAAATCTATGTAGTGTAAACTATTTTGTGCCTTGATAGCAAATAATTGATACCGAATTCTGACTTTCAAAATATTGGTAGTTTACAAAAAGCTATTCCTAAATACTTATGAATGCAAATGGAAATTAGACAGGATCACCAGTTAATTATTAAATGGCTCAAACCACAGGACAAAGCTGTCTGTGTTCCAACACATTAAATATCTTTTACTTTTGCTCACTTTGAGTATCAGGAGGCTACTTAGAACTTTGAGAAACAGGAGCTAATCTAGTAGGGTGGCTATTTCATTATCAAGAGTGATTGTTGTGCATTTATTTCCTAATACAAGGCATATACAAACTTAGTTTTAAATAAATGGATATAATAAGCAGTGTGAACACTGTGGGTTATTTATCACCTTAATAATCAGTAACATTCTGTAATTTGGAGTGAATTGTAGACACTGAGTAATTCTAATAGTCAGCATTAAATAGCCTGCAAAAAAAAAATTTAATGCTTGGCAGTTTCTGCTGGTATCTATTTGGAAGGAACTTGTGAAAATTAATCATTTTAAAAAATAAAAGATGAGTTTTACACTAGGTGTCACTTATTTGGGAAGAAACCATCATCATTATTTGTTTTCAGTAGCATTAGGAAATAAATTTCATCTTTATATAATATCTTAGAATTAATAATGCCCCAGGAATTATTTCATGAGTAAGCAAATAGGAGACTCTTATTTAAATTCCAAATTCATAAAGAAACTACACAGGTCTTCATGAAAGATAAAGAACTGAATTATCCATCAAATTTATACAAGTTGCACAAATTCTGTTTCATTGATCAGTTTATCCTGTGTCTGGGCTCATTAAGTTCGATTTTTAGAAGTTTTCTTCTGTTTTCACCAACTGCCACTTTCCTGCCTCCCAACCACTCAAACTCTATCCTCTGAGTCTTTCTCGAGTATTCCAGCAAAAATAATTCCATTAGTAGGACAGGTAGATGTCTTTAAATGTTGCTGCAGCACAAGCATGTGGAGTCTCCCATCTTTAACTTCTTCCCTAGGTTATGAAACTTGGAAATCCTGAGATTGCCAGGAGACTGCTACTCAGAGGTGCTAATCCCAATTTGAAAGACCGAACTGGTTTCGCTGTCATTCATGATGCAGCCAGAGCAGGTTTCCTGGACACTGTACAGACTTTGCTGGAGTTTCAAGCTGATGTTAACATCGAGGATAATGAAGGGAACCTGCCCTTGCACTTGGCTGCCAAAGAAGGCCACCTCCCGGTGGTGGAGTTCCTTGTGAAGCACACAGCCAGCAATGTGGGGCATCGGAATCATAAGGGAGACACTGCCTTTGACTTGGCCAGGCTCTATGGAAGGAACAAGGTCATTAGCCTGATGGAAGAAAATGGAGTGGGGGGAGCCACAAATCTGCAGTGAATGTGGGGAGGGCTTTCCCACACTGCCTCTACTTTGTCAGTCGGTTGGTTGGCTACCCTATGTTACTATCATTTATTAAAGTCTAGTTTCTTTCATATTTTAAGCAACTAGTTAAATCTTTTGAAACTGATTAAGTGGCAATCTTACTACAAGCTTTATGAATATATTTCGACACCCTTTTCACTGGCAAAATCCTGATTTCTAACATGTAATTGCAAATAGCTTTGGCTTTCTTCAAAATATTTTCTTTCTTTGACTTTTTTCCCTGCTTACCCCCTCACCAATCTCAAATGTCCAGCTTGGAGACTTTGCTTTAAAATTTATTTGTTCTGATGCTTCTCTTACCTAATTAAAACATTTTTTTCAGAACAGGACAACATTTTTCTGTGATTTTTTTTCACTCCGCTGTGACCAGTACACAACTTACCATTTTGTAAGAAATGTATTAAAAGTTCATGATACTCTTAAGTCTTAATGTTAGGAAAAGAACACCAATTAGAAAACTAGTTATTTATAGTCTGTTTATAAGTCAGTTATTCCTTTAGCTCATTCCTCTTGCCCCCTCCTAGAGACTTTCTTGATTTTATTAGTATTTCTGCTTCAAATATATATATATATATAGCATTTTTGAAGATCAGACTTGAAGCTATTTCAGTATGAATTATTCCTAATGTCCAGTCAGTCCTCTTTTTCCTCAAGTTCAAGTCAAATAGCTGAAAGATAGATTTCAGCAAATATAATACTATCTCTGAAAGTCAGTTTAAAAAGAAAAATACTACAGTAAAAGTGCTTCTTTCTTGTAAGTTAGCTTCTTTCTTTTTTTTTTTTTTCTTTTTTTGGGGGCCGTCTTTTTGAAAGAGGGTATCTTTGTAGCCCCAGCTGGCCTGGAACTTGTAGACCAGGCTGGCCTTGAATTCACAGAGATGTGCCTGCCTCTGCCTCCTGCATAAAGGCATGTGCCACCATACCCGGCTTGATAAACTTTTTTAAAATCATAAAATGAAACAATTGGTTAATATATTTCTCAAAATTGTACCACAAGTATATACCAAGGGTAGCACTGGCCTTCCCCCTATCTGCCAAAAATGTAAAACTTGAGTATTAAAATACAAACATCAGTGTTGAGGGGGTAACACAGCCAGAAAACAGCATGTAAATGATATGTAAAGGCCATAACTATTTAGGGTCTACAGAATAAGAAATGTAGAAACTTTCACAATAAAGAAATAAGCAACTCTCCCATATGGTACTTGATTTCCACAAATATTTTTACTAAATGAGTATAAAATCTTCCGGGGGGGGGGCATGTTTGACTAAAAATTTTTAAAAATTGAAGGAACTAGACATATCTCAAATTTCCAAAAAGGATTTTCCCCACATCTATTTATTCTGTCATATTAATTAAAGATTGCTACCACAGGATATCAATGCAGTTACCACTTATAAATTTATAAATACTTTATTCATCATTTCCCGCATGAACAAAGATGTTTTATATAAAAGTTCCCTCCCCTGCTTCATAAGCTCTCTACCCTCAATTCAAAAAGAACAAAATACTTCAAGGTTTATTGAAGGACATGGTTCAGATGCCCTTGACAAGCACTGGTTGAAAGCAAGAAGTTTTCAAGAACTTACCTTCCATTACATTATTAAAGAATATAGGATGAAAAGCTTAAGCATTTTCACTTTGAGGTTAAAATTCACATTCCCTAAATTGAATGCAACTAAGATTTTGACTTCTGCCACCTTTAACCACCTTTCTATATAAATTTATTTTTAATGGAAACGTGAAATTAAAGTTATGAAACTTTTGAAAGGTACAAATTGAAATGGTCTTGAAAGGAAAATGTATTTTGATTTAAAAAGTCTATATACAAAATACACAGTTTTAGTAAGCTGAATATTTTCAAAGCAGAGCACTATTACTGAAAGTAATAAAAAAAAACCTTTTTACATATTGCAACCATAAAGTTGGACAACTCTAAAGTTCAAAAAAGCAGTTTAATTGGCTTCACAGTATCCCGCGTGTCTCAGCGTTTACTTTATGGCATGAAGTAAATTACCTCTAGAGAGTCCAAATATAAAGGCACAAGACGTTCATAAAGCAAAAGAAGTGCTGCGATTGCTTTGTTCTCGGGTGGTCTGAGCACAGCAGAGGGAGAGGACGCCCTATCTCTTCATCAGCCTAAAATTTGCTAGGCATTAAAACATCTCCACATTACCCTACTCCTCACAGGAAGTAGCTTTGCTAATCTAAGTATTTTAGAAATGAGTTATGTGGTCCCCTCTAGGAAATATGAAAAGCTTTTCAATCTTTCAAAAACCTCGACAGTATTCAAGAGAACTCTTGAAGAACCGTGTAGGTTGGAAGAGAAGGTGCTGATGAGCATAATGGGATCTAAATAGCAGCGAGATCAGGTGGGAGGGAATCTTAATTTATTCAGGTGCAGAGAGTGAGGATGCAAAGGCTAATTTATAGGGAGCTAGAAACCCCAGGGGATGATGCTGTAGAAGAGACAGGTTATAAAGCAGAGATGCGCTCTGAAATTCAGTACCATACCCTTAGCCACGTCGGGAAACGCGGGTTCGGCCTTTGCCCAGTAAGCTAAACCCAGGCTTACACCTGCAAAGTGGGATGCACAAACCAGATCTCAATCCATAGCCTGGAACCGGAACCACTAACTAGAGTGCCTTTTATCCTGTTTAGAAGTGAGTCAATAGATTTTTGAGGAGCATCAGGCACCAGGCAACGATGTGATGAACCCTGGACACACTCTGGAAAACTGACAGTATTTTGCCCTGGAAAAGCAATTTATTTGTCGATTATCCTACATGTACTTTAGTGTATTGATTAAAGGAACATTGGAATGTGTGACCTGGTACTACTTAATTTTTAATTCCCAGAAAGGTGTTTTCACCGGGCCGGGGCTGGGTGGGGGGTAGTATTCTAGAAGCGCTGGAAGATAACAGTGCTGGAGCGAGAAAGGGTCGTCCTTGCAAATCCTCCTTAAGCTACCTCTGCCTAAAGGCTACAGGGGGAAAAGTCTCTTTTTGGGGTAAACTCTTGGTTTTTCACCGCAGTTTCGTGCAAACTGACCCACCCAGAGACCTAGTGAGAGGCAGAAAACAAAATTCCTTCCTGAGATGGGGGTTAAAGCTCTAGCCAGAGCCACCCCCAACTTCCCTGGAGGGGCTGTAAAGACACCTTTTCTGCCCCAGACGCGGGCTCTGCCGCAAGCGCGGCAGGGAAGACCGGAGCGGGCGCGCTGCAGTGCGCGCAGAAAAGCCGGGTGGGGGTGGGGAGTGCAAAACCGTTAGCTCGCCTTTTTTTTTTTTTTTTTTCCTCCTTCGCTAAGGTTTCTCGTCTCTTCTCTTCCTGTCCAAATATTTCAAATTTCCGCGCCTTAAATAACAGTCTCCTTTTATTCCGCTTGTGTCCTCGGCAGGTTTGGCCTCCCCCTGGTCTCTAAACCCTACCGGCCGGGATGCTGCCTAGCGCCGGCCCTGAGCGCCCGCGTGAGCTCCCGCCCGGCCGCGACCTCGCGGGCCCCGGCAGTTCCAGCACCAGGGCCCTGAGCACGGCGCCCGCCCGCATCCCGCTCCACGTCCTTCCCCGAGTTCCGCCACGTCTTCTGCCTTGGGCCGGGACGCCGATAGCCCTGGCCCTGCGGCGCCGACAGGCCCGGGGCGGGGGCGGCGGCGG